TTTCTCCATTTTGTTGAACCCAACGTTAGGCAAGGACACTGTAGTGTGTTTTCAAACGGTCCTTATTTGCTCGCAGACTTCAGTTCGGGCCGTGACTCCGAAAATCGAGGGGTATGTTTTCGTTGTAACGTGGTCTTCCTCGATTCTGAAGTCCAGAGTATGATCATCCAAGCGGAAAGAAGAACTTTCGCGATCGCTCGAGTCTGAAGAGTCTATTCACAAGCAAATCGCCTCTGTGGAAGCACCATTCGACCCATTACCGCCCTTACCTTCCAACTTCGGTCTCGCTTGTTCTGCCGTTGCATGCATTTTGGTTAATCCAAACAACATTGCAATGTCAGAGGTGGGTTAATCAGGATTAATCCCTATTGATCCTATTCACCTCACATGGTGATGTGCATTACCAGGACCACCTACTGACTTGAGTAAATTATCCCAGTAGGGTCTTGTTGGAGCGGATTAATCCGTGGAAACACACACTTTGTGATTGAGGGTTAACTCATGCAAGGATTAATCCCTATTAATCCGGTTCACCTTACATGCACATCATCGGGACCACCTACTGACTGAGGTGGATTAGCCCAGTAGGATCTTGTCCGAGAGGATTGATCCCCGAGATAACACACATTGTGATTGAGGGGTTAACTCACGTATCACAACTGGTTTGCCAGCTCAACCAGTTGGGTGAGCTTGCACATTGGGCTTGGGTTAGCTCGCTCTCTAGTGGGATTAATCTGTTTTAGTCGAGGTTGAAGACGTATTAAACACTTTGTTCTACACAGTTCAGCTAAATAAAGACGAGATTAATACTTTTTTTCTGATTCTTGGGTCGAAAAAGGCACAATAGGTGGGCATTTTAAAAGTGGTGGTGGTCACCATTCAACAAGAATGTAAATAGATATCTACAAGATCACATCTATGGATCTGCTATCCGGTCCGTACAAGCTCTGGCTCATAACTCCCAAATTGACTCGGTGTTTGGACGCCGATGTTCAAAAAATCTGTTCAGATCCTCATTCTCCCCTGGCCAAGTACCTCCTACCAACTCGTATTGAGAGTTTGCATCAGAGGCCATGGACTTATACATCGCCACCTTTTGAATCGCACACACCCGATAAGTGTTCGAGGTCGATGAGAAACCCTCCGTATTGATGGCCACTTTGTATCTTGATAAGGCCTGATCTGGCGGGACGGTGGAGAGGTTGCGCCAGTACGTCGATAACTCCTGGCATGACCTCGAGAAGCGGCAGAACTCTTCCTCAAGGATTTCTACCTCTTCAATCAAGTGTTGCATGTCGGCTTTTGCTCGGAACCACTGAACACGTTCAGCTAGCAAAACTCACTTAAGTCTCGGTCGGTCACAGCTCTGATGAATATCTTGCACACATCTTCAACCAAAAAATCTGCCTTTCCCTGGTCATCCAAACCTTTCAGCTGACCATAACGCCAGATCAACGAGTTAATATGTTTGCTGTCTCCCAACTCACGTGGAGCCATCGAGTTTTTTTGCATAGGTGTCTTCGTCTTTGAGGATTGGGTAGTCGGGAGATTCACGTAGGCCCATTAACGCGAGGACAGCGAGTTGAGCGTCCCGGTACTGATCCATATAGCCCTGTTTCCTTGCCTCCACGCTGTTCAGCCATCTCACCGACCGAGTGTTTTGGGTGACGCCCTTTGCATTCTTGCGCTGTGTGTTCCGCATGACAATCTTTGAGTTGATAGTATCGCAGAGGTGAGTAACAGCATCATTGCATTCTCCCTCTCGCAGCTTCAGCTCAATCTGGGATAATTCTTCCGGCCCAAGATTCTGTCGTTCCCGAGAGCTGAACTCAGAAGGGAGGTAGAAGTGAATATTTTCAATTGGGGCGGCCGCAGGCTAGGGGTATTGATAGCGAGGTCGATGACCAGGACTCCGGCTAAGATAATATGTCCGGTGTAAAGTGGTGTATTTGATTGTGATCGCGTTTGCCCTACATCTTCTCCACTAAGTTCAACTTGACTTTCCTTCTCCCGTTATTTTCGGCTATGTTCATAACTACTAAAACTAATAATCGCGTCCCTGTTCTTCACTGACCTATAGATCAGTCAGTGGTACTTTGAATACCTTCGGGCAGAGATTTTGGATTAGCTGAGTAATTGTTGCGGGGTTAATCCTCGTAGTTAGCCCGTAGGTAAATTAGATTAATCCACTCGGTCGAAGGTTAATACGTGGTGGGTGAATAAAATTAATCGGCTCATTGAGTTAGGTTAATCCAGGAGTCGTCGGGGTTAATTCAAGCTGGGTGAATGGAATTAACCAGCTCATTGAGTCGGGTTAATCCACAAGTTGTTGGGGTTAATCCAACCCAGGTGAATCGAGTTCACTCTCGAGGGTCGATACGTGGGGTGAATGGAATTAATCAGCTCATCGAGTCGGGTTAATCCACTAGTCATTGGGTGAATGGTTCTATCATATCTAATTTGGGGTTAAACCAACCCGGGCGAATCTGGTTGTATATCGGGTTGTGGATTAATCTGGGTTAACCTGTTCTGACGTTGCAATGTCGTGCGGATTAGCCAAAATGCATGCATTTACTGGCTTGTTATAGGATAATTTCGCAACCTTTAGAGGTAAAGATACACATGCTAGGGCGTCGACGTAAAGGTATAGAAGTACTACGGCGTTTGTTTGGAACGCAAAACTCGCAACTCACGTTCTGTCTGAGTGCTCCCCTCATCAACTTGTCACAATGCCTTCTGGCTCCCGGGATTACGACTGTGGCGCGTATGACCGTACGACACCTACCGGTTACCACTGCGGGTAAACACCCGGCCGTCAAGTATACCATCCCGTACCACCATTGGGGAGCATACCACTGCAACTTCAACAGATAGTTATGGCACAACTACCACTATATAGATAGAATGTGTTCGTATCTGAGTGTAAGAGCTCCGATCTTGTTCGGAGACAAGGCCCTAAGGCCGCGAGAGTGTGCCAGCAGTATGGATTATACTGGTACGTGAACAAGATAAAAGCTTACTAATCCTACATAGAATCTACCAGATAAGTGTGATAAGCGTACAGATAACGTATTAAGTCTAATCTAATCTAATAGAGGTGGGGGGTACCCATTTCCGTTAAATCCGTAGCCCTTACACTGAGCCTTTTGTTCTCGAAGATGTATCACTGGTGGGCGCGCCCTTTTCGACAACATGTTTTCATTTAGGACATGATCGTCGAGATCGACGAGTAGGGGCATTTCCGGTTCGCAAACCACTCGATATGGCGGGAAAATGCATCTGGCGATCGTAGTATTCTTTGCCTCTAGCCAACTTCAACGACTGGCCTCTTCATTGACATGTATACTGCATCAATATTCGCTACGATACTAGTGAAGCGAGGGAGATGGCGTAATTGTCCAACGTCTCTATGTCGTCAGCTGATAAGACTCCAGATAAACGATTTGGCCGAACACTAATTCGGAGCCGAAGCCTGATTAGAAAACTGCTCCGAACATTGGCACCATCATCGTCAAAATTCTCATCGCCTTGGTTTGGCTGGGTGAACTGGATTTAGAATGCTGTAGATGACGAGGGTGATTGTGCTCCGTCGACGGTGACATGCCTGGGTTGCCCTAGATCAAAAGCCAGGCCAGAATAATAGAGAGACTGATTCAGGTGCGTAATGCGTCCGTTTTTTGCTCTGTTTGATACTAAAAGAGCATGCCATGATAGCCGCTGTGATATAGAGATGAGGAACTTACCCGTACGACATTTGAGCAAATAAAATACTGGGCGCTCCCCGTTCCGGAAGAGTGGATTACTTACAAGAGGTGCGCTCAAATCATTAAACTAGAGGTATGATCAAGGCGCGTATTACCCAGGCCTTCTCATCCATTTTCTTCACTACCTACTAGCTCTCGACCACGACCTCGCTGCGAAGCACCGTCCTTCATAACCGGTCAAAATCTTTGGACTTGAAGCAAGCCCTCGTTTACAGGTCTAAATCCAGTGTGGTTCACCCACACGAAGCGAGATATATGGTGTTTTGTTAACAATCTAGCTAACCTTAAAACCTCCTATATGGATACACGACACAACCAACGGGAAACGAGAATTATTTCATGCTCGTTCGACACCGTTGCCGACGAGTCCCAATCTACGGAGAATATGACGCTCTTAATCATGAGGTAGTTGGACAGACCAGTCCTCGAAGGTTTGGGGAGGTTGTTGTAAGTTCTTTTCACATGACTCACAACTTGAAGCAGGTCAAGACGCTTACCCCCGACGTAAACAGGCGGTCTTTCGTCGCGCTTGAGTGATGGGCCTTGTAAGTGCACAGCGCGGTGATCATCCACCGGACGGACGAAACCTATAGCTGCTGCCTGCACGTCCAAAAGTTACGCGACCTGGTTAGTCAAATCCAAACCGTAGGTAGTTTGGACCTCGGAGACTCATAGCACGTTTAAGAGTGTGTGTGCAGTCCATATTTTAAATTTTCTGGTCCCATCGTTATCGTTCGACTTATTATTCAGATAAATAGCGAAAAAAAACTCGATGCCTTGTCGGATGCCGGTCTTGAGGCAAAAGCTCCCTCGCCGGGGTGAGCGTCTCAACCGCGATCTGGCCACCGACATCCTGCTACCCAGTCCTCCTTTCCTTGACCTCACTGTTTGTCACATATGCAACGTTGTTGCTATGTGACTCATTCAAAGGGATGATATCACGAAGCTTTCCGCTTATGGTTGTACATCGGTGGACATCGACAATATGCAGAGAATTTTGTTAATTCAGCACTTCCACATCCGAGATACGACACAAAGTTCATCTCATTCAAACACAATGGTATCTGCGCATGAATGGCTTTTCAGTTTCGCCCATCGTCGTTTGTTGATCTATTGTAAGCACTATTATATCGAGAAGCAGGTTCGCCCTTAAACTTAAGAATGCAGTCAGCGTCGATAGCCTTCGAAAGTGACCGTTGGCGACCCATATTACCATGATGGGATGAGGTTTGTATTGGCCTGATGGTCTAGTAGTATGATTCCTTGTTAGGGTTCTGGCATTGATTGTTCTGGACGCCATTATATCTATCGAGGAGGTCCCGGGTTCAATTCCCGGTCAGGCCCGGAGCGTGCATATTTGGCAGTATTTCTTTTTCACATGGACTCTAAATTGAGTCAGTTTGTTCAAATAACTGGTCTGAAGTTTCCCCTTTTTGAGACTGAAATTTGATCATGTTTGGATCGTTGGCTTGTGAGCCGAACGAGAATATACAGTGTAGTACCCGCTCGAGCTTTACATTCATGACTTTGCAACGAACTCAACCTCCTCCCGAACCGACCCCAACAAATCCGCCGTCTTCATCTTGGGCTCCCATCCCAAGGTTTTTGCTCGTGTACTCTTGACACGGACATTATAGGAAAGCATATCGTGAAGAATCGCCCCCTAGATTGCGGTGAAATGAGAATATCAGTCGAGAGAGAAAGGACAAAAAAAACTCGGAGCAGAACGCACAAATGGACCAAAGACCTCTACCGCCCCTTCCTTCTTCAATTGTACAACCTCGGCGCTCGGGATTTTTCCGAGCGTGTACAGGGCTTTAGCAATTCCTTGGAAGAAGTCATAGTGTTTGTGGTCGTCTCCTCCGACGAGGAAGTGACCTTCTAGTCCGTGAGGTACGTTCAATGACTCGAGGACGACCTTTTTGAAGAGGAGGAGGTATAAATCAGTGACTAGTTCATGCAATAGTCAATGGAGGTCGGGTCTTGAATCTAGTTCTAAACTCACGATCGTCCAGATGAACGTTAGGCCAAACCGTTTCCCGAGTACCCAACGAGATACCAGAACCTTTCGTAGTCGATGCTTGAACAAGGTACTGGTAAAATGGTGCCCTCGGGTTTGAGATCCCTGCGCTACCCAGAATGTTACGCGGGGTTGAAGGGGCACCATAGACTAGACTTGGCGCTATAATGTAAGACTTCACGTAACCTTCAAAATGTTACAATGGCTCAGCAAATGAGGGGGAAGAGATACAGAGAGTGAGAGACGACTTACCTTGCCTATCGGCGTCGATGTATAGTAGCTCGGTTGCCCGACTTGAAGGTAGATTGTCCGAAGGGAGGTTTCGCATTTGTTCGATATTCCCGTCATCCCAGATGGTGTCCGAATAGGGCGCTTGTGAGCTAGCTAAGAGACCTGTTCCAGACTATACGGACAATTCAGGTTCTCAATTCAAAAAAGCAAAGACGATCAATCATTACGGTGTGAATGAGTAACGGAGCTTCCCCTGTCGCCTCAAAACGCTTCTTCAGCCCATTGAGAAGACTTTCAGTCGCCCCGACCTCATTTCCAGGGCCCTTTCCAGCAAATCTGTTCAGAGGAGTGCAAAGAACGGCGAAGGAGGTAATGAACGTACGATGCCCAACAAAACGTCTGCCTTCTCAGCCTCCCTCGAGGTTAATTCCTCATCGGATTGGGACCCTACGACGGTTTCGACCCCAAATTCATCCTTGAGTTGCTTGGCTTTTGTGGCGTCCCGTACGATCGCACGAAACTCGAGGTTGTGATCGCTCTCTTTCTTCCTGAGGTCGAGGAGTGCACTCAAAACACTTCCACCGATGTAGCCTGAGAGATAAAAAAGGCCGAGTGAGCTCCTCACGAATCGAATTGAAAAATAGGACTCCTGGCCTGTTGCTCCAGTGATGAGCACAACAATCTTTCTGTGGTCACTTGTCTTCGAAGTCATATTTCTGTGAGGTCTCTGAGCAAGAAACATCGAGTTTTTATAGTCTAAGTACCCCTACGATCAGTAAGCAACGATTCGGATCTCTACCGAGGACTTGGCAAATGTGTGAAAATTATGAAGTTTGGATGAGTGGTAGCTCTGCTTAGTGTTTAATATCGGAAGAGCATCCGAGCGCTCCTAGAGGCTCCAGAAATATCCGCGTCTGGATATTACCATGCTGTCGTGTCCCAAATATAGGCCATCGTGTAGTAATTGGAGGTCACAACCATCTATCACGCTTGTGCTATGAACTACGATGATTCCTCTTCGTTGAGTAGCATTCAAATACTTTAGTTGGCTCAGAGATGTTTGATGAATACAAATAGATCTGTATCTATATTGATAACTTTGAAACGCGAGCTTAAGGGCAGAACGTAATCTCTAGGTTGACCTAAAGTGGAATGATCAGTCTGGAGTTATGAAGGATTCATAAACAAAGACCCGGAACTTACGTCGTTGTTCTGGCAAGCACGTTGAGAGTGAGTGTCTTCGGGGACACGAAAGGCGTTGTCGGATGGGCAGTTGGGGTCGAGGCCTACAAGGGAGAAGGTAACGTAGGTGTGAGTATTACTTATACGAGTGGTATGAGGCGTAACTTACAAGCATTGCCGTCAGAACAGGGGCCGGTGTAGCGGAAGGAAATGGGGACGTTGAAGGCGAGACTATAGCGGTTGTCAGCAAGGTTAACTAGCCCATAGAACATGTGAACCAATCTGATCCGTTGACTTACGGAGGGATGAGTGAAAGGTTCACGCTAGATCCAGAGCCAGGTGCGTTGGGGTCAGGGTTCTTCAAGGTAATCTATCGAGAGGAAGAGGTTGACTTTGAGCTCCAGAGACTCGAATGGGACAGTAAAATATCGCACCTCAGTGGTCATGCAGCCCTCTGTCCGAGAGAAAGATTCCATGAGTATCCTGGGCGAGTCGCGGGAATCGAAAATTACCGACCTCCATTGAAGCCACATTGGTCAGTCTGAAGGTACGCAATAGTGGTGGCAATAGCCTCATTGGCCGTGTACGGATCCCCAGTAGAGACAACGACTCCTCCCTCACGAATGAGAGTAGGAATACCACGGTTACATCTGTCACGTGGTCAGCACGTTTCGAATCAAAACGACGAGGCTCACCTGTTGATCATGGTGATGGTATGGGTCTCCCCGAGAACGGTGGTAGCGGCAGTGGCAAGGATTGCAAGGGTGGTGAGCAAGGAGAACTGCATGATGTGAGAAAAGCTTGATAGGGAACGAGCTGAGGTGATGGTCCATCGTTTTAAAGGCCTCAGTACGGCCTCGTTCGCCGGGAGATCCATCACAACTCCTTATTCCGAGAGATCAAACCATCATCCAGGTGGAGTGTTGAATAGCTATAGCTCTACAACCAACAGCGAGCATTCAATCAACTTGAGACTGAGAATGCAGACACGCCTCGATCGCTAGCCGTAGCTTTGTCTGACCGCGCTCACCACTGAATTTCCGCGTCATATTCCAAGCCTTCAAGCCCCTGTTGCATATCCTTGTCAGCAGAGTACAAACCCGAGGAATACACAAGACTCATTCAGCGCAACATTCTTGCCGCCGCATCACGAGGCTATGTGGGCGGCGACCTGGCAAAGCGGAAAAATGTGTTAGTCGGTTGCGTCAGAGCGGGAAGATTCAACTTGAAACGGTGATAATCACCCAGCTGTGAACACCTCTCGCGCTGCCGATGTTCGCCTGCTAATCTACTAGTGAGAACTGCATATGGGCCTGAAACGTCAGCGAGCGATGGCCGTGACAGACGATTCAACGCATATGTATTCAAAATCGTTTTGATTTTGATCCGTTCCCCCGCTTATGACGTCGGCGTTGATATTACAGCTCTTTGCGAAAAGGTTGGCACACATTTCACAGATTGTAGATATAGAAGAATAAATTGGCGAACGTAGATGGCGGCTTCGCCCCTTCGGTCCACATCCGTTCGATGTTTTGGACATCTTACGGGAGGGTTTGAGGCGCGTTTCGAGGGGCAGACGTGGGTAGCTGTGCCTTCGAAGATGTTTGATGTGGCCTCGGAGATGTTTGATGTGGATTCAGAGGTGTTTGGAGTGGATTCGGAGATGTTTGGGCTGGACTCGGAGGTGTTTGAAGCGGGTTTACTGCCGCTCGTATCTCTTCGCCTCGCTCAACCCTTCTTCATTTATTTTTCTATATATCTCATCTTCCCAGCTTATGCCATCCTTTTCGCAAAGGGCTGTAAACGCTTGCTTTACATTGCTACTGCAGCTGAAGTCGTTCGAGCTTCTCCGATTCGATTGACAATCAAATTGAACTGTAACTCCAAGCAGAAGGGGGAGTCCGAGCGGGGCGGAGCCGTAAACCTCGAGTGACAATCTAGGTATGATGCTGGCGTTCAGCCCGAGATGTAGTCAGGGAGCAAAGGGATTTGAAACAAGTCTTTTAAAGTGTATACCTAAACTCCGGTGCCCGATCCCCCATCGCCCTAATCTCCTCAGCGCTCCTCTTCACTCCTCGTTCTTCCTCCTCCCTGATAACACGCTCCTTCCGCCTATTAGCACAATAATGCGCCAGCGTAACGATAGGAACCACGATGAGTCCGATTTCGATGAACATGAACGATATTCCGTCTGCCAATAAGTACTCAATTTGAGCGACCCGATGCAGATTCAAATAGTACTTACGTCCAAGGACAAACCCCGACCTATTCCCACCATCTCCATGATACACATTTGAAGCCACAACTCCCCTCACATTCGCAAGAACAACCTAAAAAGCCATGCCAACCGCACGTTTGTACTGACCCGCGAGGTTATTCCCTAGCCTGGCGAATATAACTCGCTTAACAACACTCAAACCTTGCAAGCAAAGACGCACCAGGCAAGGACCCCAGGTACCCCAGAATGCGTCCCCATAAAACACAGGAACGTTGCAAAATACTTTACACCAGGCGAGGAGCTCGAGATCATAATCCTGAATACAATGAGAGAGTGAATGAATGAGGCGTAGATAAACGGGGACCGGAGTTTCGTTTTGTCGGAAAGGTAGGCGAAGGTACAGAGTGTGATGGCTTGCGTATCGGTTTCGTAACTTGTAAGTTCACATAGAGGAGGATATTGAGGGGCGAAAGACTCACTAGCGGCGATGTATGGAGGAACGGTGAGGAGGTTACTTATGGTGGAAGGGTACCCGAAGCTATAACAAAGGAGTCGGGCGCATAAGCGGGAGAAAGGGTCGATTGTTGCAAGTGAAAGAAGCTTGCGCTTTGATAATCGTTCTGTTGCGCAGTAAGAGTGAAAACGATCAGCCGGCAAGTCCACCCGTGTTCGAAGACACATTCTGACTTACGG